AAAGGACACACTGACAAAGGAGATTAATCAGAACTGTCTTTGACAAGCACTGTGGCAATTGGACAATTAAAACAGACATGGGGGGGAAGGAATAACAAACTGGGGGGGGGAGGGTAGAGGAAACAGTGCAACAATGAAGGAATGAAAACCCCAAATCTCTGTAAATGTTCATTAAAACTAATAAAATTTAATAATAATAGTAAGCAGAGAGAACTAAGCAAAGGGAAAAAAATGTCTTTCTGTGTCTTATGCCAATTTTTTTTTAAAAAAAGAATTTTAATTGAGGTTTTAAAAAAAGCTTATAGAGAACTAGGATTTCCATTCATTCATTGTTGCATATTTTGCCCTCTACCCAGAATCCAGTTCAGTTTCCTCTTTGAAAAGAAAAATTCTTTCATTGCTGCACAATTTCGTCTCCCCTAGTCCAATTTGTTACACAGTTCTTATTCTGCACTGTTGTCATGCAAATAATACCTAATCAAATATACCTTTTAAACAGACCTTTTTCTCATCTGTTTCATTGTAGTGTACATTATTTATCCCTTTTTCTTAGTTTCACACTAACCCCCATGTCAGTCCTGTATTATAAGAGTGACATTATGTAGTATTTGTCCTTTTGGGACTGAGATATTTAACTCAGCGTAATATCCTCTAGGGTCACCCATTTTGAATAATATTTTATGAGTTCCTTGTTTTTCAATGCTGCATGGTATTCCATTATGTGAATATGCCATAGCTTCTCTATCCATTCATTTGTTGATGGGAACTAGGGTTGTTTCCATCTCTTTGCTATTGTGAATAACACTGCAATAAACGTAAGTGTGTATATATATATCTGTTTGGGTGGCAGTTCTGATTTCTTTGGGATATATTCCCAGTAGTGGAATTGCTGGGTCAAATGGTATTTTTATTTCCAACTTTTTGAGAAAATGCCATACTGCCTTTCATAGTAGTTACACCATTTTACATTCCCGCCAACAGTGAATAAGGTTTCCAGTTTCTCCAAAACCTCACCAGCATTTGTTGTTTGCTACTCTGCTGAATTTTGCTAATGTTACTGGGGTGAGAAGATGTCTCATAGTTGTTTTGATTTGCATCTTGGATATTTTGAACATTTCATGTGTTTGCTGACCATCTGAATGTCTTCTTTGATAAAGTGTCTGTTCATATCCTGTGCCCATTTTGTGGATGGGTTGTTTACCTTTATCTTGTTGTGGTGCTCATGTATTCTATAAATTCTAAATATAAGTCCTTTATCAAACATGTCATTACCGAATATTTTGCCCAGTCTGTGGATTTCCTTTTTATCCTGTTGGAGAAGATTTAGATGTGCATAGGGATTTTATTCTTCAAAGGTTCCATTCATCTATTTCATCCTCTCCTGGTTGTAGGTTTTTCAGAATGTTTGGAAGACTGTTCAAGTTGTGGATTAGGGCTTCTAGAGTTCTTCCAAGCTTTTCTCTGACGAAGTTTATAGTTCTTGGTTTTAGACCTAGGTCCTTGATCTACTTTGGGTTTTGTGTATGGTGTGAGGTATGGGTCTTGCTTGAGTTTTCTGCAGATAGTTTTCCGATTTTACCAACACCATTTGTTGAAAGGCTGTCATTTCTCCACTAATCGATTTCATCTCCTTGTCAAAAATCAGTTGACAACAGGTAGATGGACTGATTTCTGGGTTCTCAATTCTATTTCATTGATCTATGTGTCTGTTGTTGTACCAGTACCACACTGTCTTGACCACCATGGCAGTGTAGTAGAATTTGAAATCAGGGAGTGAGATGCCTCCTACCTTGTCTCTCTTTTGAAGGAGTGTTTTGCTTATTCAGGTCTCTTCCCATTCCAGATGAAATTGGAAACTGCCTTTTCCATCTCATTGAAGAATGGAATTGGTATTTGTATTGGTATTTCTTTGAACTCATAGTTTGCCTTTGGTATAGTTGTCATTTTCACAATATTGATTCTTCCTATCCAAGAACATGGTATAGTCTTCCATTTCTCCAGGTCTCTTTTTGTTTTTTACGGCAATGTTTTGCAATTTTCTTTGAAAATGTCCTGTGTATTTGTAGTTAGATTTACTCTCAAGTATTTAATCTTGTGATTAGCTATTGTTATGAGTATTGTTTTTCTTATTTCCAGTTCTGTATTCTTTGTGTCACTGTAGAGAAATTAAATTGATTTTTGTATGTTAATCTTGTATCCTACCACTTTGTTGAATTGGTTGACTATGTCCACTAGTTTTCTGGTTGAGTCTTAGGAGTTTTCTTAGTATACTATCATATCATCTGCATATAGAGATAACTTTACCTCCTCT